GGGCCCTAGAGGGCGCTTCATAGCGTTTTCTCCACTTGATGGGGACCCTAGAGGGCGCTTCATAGCGTTTTCTCCACTGGAAGAGGGCCCTAGAGGGCGCTTTATAGCGTTTTCTCCACTTGATGGGGCCCTAGAGGGCGCTTCATAGCGTTTTCTCCACTTGATGGGGACCCTAGAGGGCGCTTCATAGCGTTTTCTCCACTGGAAGAGGGCCCTAGAGGGCGCTTTATAGCGTTTTCTCCATTTGATGGAGACCCTAGAGGGCGCTTCATAGCGTTTTCTCCACTTGATGGAGACCCTAGAGGGCGCTTTATAGCGTTTTCTCCACTGGAAGAGGGCCCTAGAGGGCGCTTTATAGCGTTTTCTCCATTTGATGGAGACCCTAGAGGGCGCTTCATAGCGTTTTCTCCACTTGATGGGGACCCTAGAGGGCGCTTCATAGCGTTTTCTCCACTGGAAGAGGGCCCTAGAGGGCGCTTCATAGCGTTTTCTCCACTTGATGGGGACCCTAGAGGGCGCTTCATAGCGTTTTCTCCACTGGAAGAGGGCCCTAGAGGGCGCTTTATAGCGTTTTCTCCACTTGATGGGGGCCCTAGAGGGCGCTTCATAGCGTTTTCTCCACTTGATGGGGACCCTAGAGGGCGCTTCATAGCGTTTTCTCCACTGGAAGAGGGCCCTAGAGGGCGCTTTATAGCGTTTTCTCCATTTGATGGAGACCCTAGAGGGCGCTTCATAGCGTTTTCTCCACTTGATGGAGACCCTAGAGGGCGCTTTATAGCGTTTTCTCCACTTGATGGGGGCCCTAGAGGGCGCTTCATAGCGTTTTCTCCACTTGATGGGGACCCTAGAGGGCGCTTCATAGCGTTTTCTCCACTGGAAGAGGGCCCTAGAGGGCGCTTTATAGCGTTTTCTCCACTTGATGGGGGCCCTAGAGGGCGCTTCATAGCGTTTTCTCCACTTGATGGGGACCCTAGAGGGCGCTTCATAGCGTTTTCTCCACTGGAAGAGGGCCCTAGAGGGCGCTTTATAGCGTTTTCTCCACTTGATGGGGGCCCTAGAGGGCGCTTCATAGCGTTTTCTCCACTTGATGGAGACCCTAGAGGGCGCTTTATAGCGTTTTCTCCACTTGATGGGGGCCCTAGAGGGCGCTTCATAGCGTTTTCTCCACTGGAAGAGGGCCCTAGAGGGCGCTTTATAGCGTTTTCTCCATTTGATGGAGACCCTAGAGGGCGCTTCATAGCGTTTTCTCCACTTGATGGAGACCCTAGAGGGCGCTTTATAGCGTTTTCTCCACTTGATGGGGGCCCTAGAGGGCGCTTCATAGCGTTTTCTCCACTTGATGGGGGCCCTAGAGGGCGCTTCATAGCGTTTTCTCCACTTGATGGGGACCCTAGAGGGCGCTTCATAGCGTTTTCTCCACTTGATGGAGACCCTAGAGGGCGCTTTATAGCGTTTTCTCCACTTGATGGGGGCCTTAGAGGGCGCTTTATAGCGTTTTCTCCACTTGATGGAGACCCTAGAGGGCGCTTCATAGCGTTTTCTCCACTTGATGGGGGCCCTAGAGGGCGCTTTATAGCGTTTTCTCCACTTGATGGAGACCCTAGAGGGCGCTTCATAGCGTTTTCTCCACTTGATGGGGGCCCTAGAGGGCGCTTTATAGCGTTTTCTCCACTTGATGGAGACCCTAGAGGGCGCTTCATAGCGTTTTCTCCACTTGATGGAGACCCTAGAGGGCGCTTCATAGCGTTTTCTCCACTTGATGGAGACCCTAGAGGGCGCTTCATAGCGTTTTCTCCACTTGATGGGGGCCCTAGAGGGCGCTTCATAGCGTTTTCTCCACTTGATGGGGGCCCTAGAGGGCGCTTCATAGCGTTTTCTCCACTTGATGGAGACCCTAGAGGGCGCTTCATAGCGTTTTCTCCACTTGATGGGGGCCCTAGAGGGCGCTTCATAGCGTTTTCTCCACTTGATGGGGGCCCTAGAGGGCGCTTCATAGCGTTTTCTCCACTTGATGGGGACCCTAGAGGGCGCTTCATAGCGTTTCTCCACTGGAAGAGGGCCCTAGAGGGCGCTTTATAGCGTTTTCTCCATTTGATGGAGACCCTAGAGGGCGCTTCATAGCGTTTTCTCCACTTGATGGAGACCCTAGAGGGCGCTTTATAGCGTTTTCTCCACTTGATGGGGGCCCTAGAGGGCGCTTCATAGCGTTTTCTCCACTTGATGGGGACCCTAGAGGGCGCTTCATAGCGTTTTCTCCACTTGATGGAGACCCTAGAGGGCGCTTCATAGCGTTTTCTCCACTTGATGGGGGCCCTAGAGGGCGCTTCATAGCGTTTTCTCCACTTGATGGAGACCCTAGAGGGCGCTTTATAGCGTTTTCTCCACTTGATGGGGGCCCTAGAGGGCGCTTCATAGCGTTTTCTCCACTGGAAGAGGGCCCTAGAGGGCGCTTTATAGCGTTTTCTCCATTTGATGGAGACCCTAGAGGGCGCTTCATAGCGTTTTCTCCACTTGATGGAGACCCTAGAGGGCGCTTTATAGCGTTTTCTCCACTTGATGGGGGCCCTAGAGGGCGCTTCATAGCGTTTTCTCCACTTGATGGGGGCCCTAGAGGGCGCTTCATAGCGTTTTCTCCACTTGATGGGGACCCTAGAGGGCGCTTCATAGCGTTTTCTCCACTTGATGGAGACCCTAGAGGGCGCTTTATAGCGTTTTCTCCACTTGATGGGGGCCTTAGAGGGCGCTTTATAGCGTTTTCTCCACTTGATGGAGACCCTAGAGGGCGCTTCATAGCGTTTTCTCCACTTGATGGGGGCCCTAGAGGGCGCTTTATAGCGTTTTCTCCACTTGATGGAGACCCTAGAGGGCGCTTCATAGCGTTTTCTCCACTTGATGGAGACCCTAGAGGGCGCTTCATAGCGTTTTCTCCACTTGATGGAGACCCTAGAGGGCGCTTCATAGCGTTTTCTCCACTTGATGGGGGCCCTAGAGGGCGCTTCATAGCGTTTTCTCCACTTGATGGGGGCCCTAGAGGGCGCTTCATAGCGTTTTCTCCACTTGATGGAGACCCTAGAGGGCGCTTCATAGCGTTTTCTCCACTTGATGGGGGCCCTAGAGGGCGCTTCATAGCGTTTTCTCCACTTGATGGGGGCCCTAGAGGGCGCTTCATAGCGTTTTCTCCACTTGATGGGGACCCTAGAGGGCGCTTCATAGCGTTTTCTCCACTGGAAGAGGGCCCTAGAGGGCGCTTTATAGCGTTTTCTCCATTTGATGGAGACCCTAGAGGGCGCTTCATAGCGTTTTCTCCACTTGATGGAGACCCTAGAGGGCGCTTTATAGCGTTTTCTCCACTTGATGGGGGCCCTAGAGGGCGCTTCATAGCGTTTTCTCCACTTGATGGGGACCCTAGAGGGCGCTTCATAGCGTTTTCTCCACTGGAAGAGGGCCCTAGAGGGCGCTTTATAGCGTTTTCTCCACTTGATGGGGGCCCTAGAGGGCGCTTCATAGCGTTTTCTCCACTTGATGGGGACCCTAGAGGGCGCTTCATAGCGTTTTCTCCACTGGAAGAGGGCCCTAGAGGGCGCTTTATAGCGTTTTCTCCACTTGATGGGGGCCCTAGAGGGCACTTCATAGCGTTTTCTCCACTTGATGGGGACCCTAGAGGGCGCTTCATAGCGTTTTCTCCACTTGATGGGGGCCCTAGAGGGCGCTTCATAGCGTTTTCTCCACTTGATGGGGACCCTAGAGGGCGCTTCATAGCGTTTTCTCCACTTGATGGAGACCCTAGAGGGCGCTTCATAGCGTTTTCTCCACTTGATGGAGACCCTAGAGGGCGCTTCATAGCGTTTTCTCCACTTGATGGGGGCCCTAGAGGGCGCTTCATAGCGTTTTCTCCACTTGATGGGGGCCCTAGAGGGCGCTTCATAGCGTTTTCTCCACTTGATGGAGACCCTAGAGGGCGCTTCATAGCGTTTTCTCCACTTGATGGGGGCCCTAGAGGGCGCTTCATAGCGTTTTCTCCACTTGATGGGGACCCTAGAGGGCGCTTCATAGCGTTTTCTCCACTTGATGGAGACCCTAGAGGGCGCTTCATAGCATTTTCTCCACTTGATGGGGACCCTAGAGGGCGCTTCATAGCGTTTTCTCCACTTGATGGGGGCCCTAGAGGGCGCTTCATAGCGTTTTCTCCACTTGATGGAGACCCTAGAGGGCGCTTCATAGCATTTTCTCCACTTGATGGGGACCCTAGAGGGCGCTTCATAGCGTTTTCTCCACTTGATGGAGACCCTAGAGGGCGCTTCATAGCATTGTAACCCACTGGATGGGGGCCCTAGAGGGCGCTTCATAGCATTGTAACCCACTTGATGGGGGCCCTAGAGGGCGCTTCATAGCATTGTAACCCACTTGATGGGGGCCCTAGAGGGCGCTTCATAGCATTGTAACCCACTTGATGGGGGCCCTAGAGGGCGCTTCATAGCATTGTAACCCACTTGATGGGGGCCCTAGAGGGCGCTTCATAGCATTGTAACCCACTTGATGGGGGCCCTAGAGGGCGCTTCATAGCATTGTAACCCACTTGATGGGGGCCCTAGAGGGCGCTTCATCGTACTATAATCTCAAATCTTTTTCTTTATGCTTCCATTTGTCAAAACTTTTGTATTTAAAAGAGGGGTTCACTTTAAACGCACTTGCCATCTTTTAAAATCCCTTGAATATCATGCCAAGAAAGAAAACTGAAGTTGAAGAAAGTAAAAAAGAAAGAAAGAGAAAATGCTAGAGCGCAGAGGGGGGTGAGAGAACAAATGAGAGGAGGAGGAGATCGACAGGGAGAATATGGAGAGTAAGAGGATTGAGGCGGGGTGTGTTTGTTGTGCGTACCAGTCGGTGCAGTATGTGAAATGTGAACTGTGTTTGGGGGGGAGGATCCTCTCTCTCTTAAAGCCGGGTCAGAAAGAGGGAGATCGGCAGTGCTGAGAGTGAGAGGCTCTGAGGAGGGAACACACACACACCCACTTTTACTGACACACATAGAGACACACACACAGACAGACAAGTGGCCTATTGTACACACAGACAAGCACATAAACACAGTTGTAGATCAATCTGACACACACTTTAACACACACACACACTCTCCTGGACTCTGGACTGACCACTCGAGGATACATCTCTAAGGACTCTGTTTCCCATCATGCATCAGCGGAGCATCTCGGAGCTCCAGGGGGTCTCCACTCAGCAGGGGGCCTCCACCAAAAGGACTACCCAGGATCAAGTCTCCTGGAGCTCCAAGCTGAGGAGGGGGTCTGGGCACCGGTGCCTCTGCCCGCCGAGGGTAGCTCCTCTCTGGGCATGGCTCCTGCTGGGGGCCATGGTGGTTCCTGGAGCCTGGAGCTTTCTGACCGAGGAGCAAGAGGAGCTGCTGGTGGAGCTTCATAACTATTACAGAGGACAAGTTTCACCCAGTGCCTCAGCCATGCTGCCTCTGGTAAGACGCCCTGCAGAGCTTAAAATACTACCACACAGGGTATTTCAGGACAGCTTTGTGTCATTCGCTTTCATTTCATTAAGGCATTTTTAGAAAGAATAGACAAGAAGTAAATAAGGTAAGACTGAAACTGAAATAATGAGCTAATATATTTATGTCAGATACAGTGTCATCCTCTGATGTGACAGTTTCCTCCCTGATTACAGCTATACATGCAGGAGACTCTGTAAAGGATTTAAATGTTCTGTGTTCATTTTAGTAATTAATTAAGTCTTCTAGTTGTGTTTTATGTGAAATAATTCTCTTTAAAGAGGCGCTAATGTGTCCCAATTAATTAGTTAGTCAAAGGAAAACCACCGGCACAATAGGTGTTAATGTGCTACTAACGCAAGATTGTCTTTATATCATTAATAGTCTAATTCTTGACGAATGAATGGTTCCAATGTTGTTTAAGAGGCTGACGGGAAGAAAACACTAAATATCTGTCTTTTTTGAAGGCTTTAAATGGTTAAAAGATAAAACTTTTTGACCTAAAATACTAAAAGCTCAGTCTAAAGATATTTATGTTGACCTTTAAAAATGTTGGTTTCAAGAAATCAAAGGTCAGATCTGCTAAAGCATTCAAAATTGAAAGTTCATATTTATGTAAAGACATTTGCATGAAGCTTTAAACAGATAACCAACACAAGTATTCTCTCTCAAGACTTTTCTCCAAGCGGTGAGAGCTATAATCAAATAGAGAAATCAATTAAACATATAGGCTACATAAGATTTGCTAGTGATTACTAGATTTGCAGTTGTAACACGAAAATGAAGCTGTATTAAATCCTTGCTGGACTATTTTGATTTAACCTTTTAAGACTTTATCTGAATTAGATGGCACTTAACAGTAATACTAGCTCTTTAATTTTGTAACTTTGGAACCCTAAATATGTCATTATCCTTGGGAAGTGATTAATGTAGCTGTAAAGATGACTGTAACTTCACTAACACATAACCTGTCATCTCATGATGACTCATCTTTATGTTAACGCCACCAGAAAACAATAAGATAACCAGTGATTACAGCAAGGGTCGGGTTTTACAAGACGAGAAGTGGTTTGTGCTGAAATCTAAAGTGTGTTGCTCTAAACGTCCACACAGGAAGGTGGGGTGATAAGCTGGTCATCACAGAAGGAGGGGAGGGGCGGCGGCGGCGGTGGTGGTGGCGTGTTTTCAGACAGTCTTCTAGAAGACAGTCACAGACTTGCACTCGGTTGTTCATGTGTAAAGTGACAGAAATAGTTCTGTTGAAGGGTCAAATCTCCGCACAGTTGACCAATCACAGCTTGAAGTGGGTCTGGATGTCGGATTGACGGTTTCGGCCGTGTGGGGGGTGTCATACGCTGCTGTCAGCGCTTTTACCACCTTCAGATTTATGTTCATATTTTTGCCCTAATTTATTTAACAGTATTAAGCCAACCACAATATTTAGAACTACAGCAGCAACAGTTGGCTTCCAGTCTCTGAAACATATTCTTCCTGTTACTCAATGTGAAATTTATTAACCCTGATATCGCAGGTCACTTTCACACCTGGAGCGGGCTCCTGTTCACACTGATTTTTTCTTTTTACAAACAAAACAAGAACTGTAAACATGAAGTCATATGAACTGACTAACTCACTGACAGAGAGTTTTCCCACTCTGGATATCACATTCTGGTGACTGAAAGAAACTCATTTACATTTATTCATTTAGCTGACGCTTTTTATCCAAAGTGACTTACAACTGCTATATATGCACGCCGCTGGAACAACTAGGGGTTAAGTGTCTTGCTCAGGGACACACGGGTGGATTTGTCGAACCAAAAACGAACCAAACGGTTTGACCTGCACTAATCATGTTAAATGTAAACGCACTCTCACAGTGTGATTTGCTGAGATTAAGAAATACCAAGTGTTGTTCACATGAGTACAGAGGAGCTCAGTGGTATTTGGTTTGTAGTGCTCCACATAGTGACAGGGGTTTTCCAGGGTGAGAAATACCTACGCTTTGTCACATCCTTCAGCGTCTGGTACCAACGCACTTGGCAGCCTTTAGCGTCAATGTTCAAAGCTAAAAGTGGGCCTATTATAAATAACTGAAAAGTCCGATCGTCAACCTAAACCTGATCTATTTGCAATGTTTCACAACGTTAACCGCAAATTTTTTATGTTTTCTTGCTAACTTCTCCGTGTGAAAACAAGGGTACACAGTGTTAAACAGCGACGCCAAGGGGTCTTGACCAAGCGTCCGTATGTGGGATGAGAGCGGGCTGAGTTTTCAGGATAATCCACTCATTTTAACACTTTGGTCAGCAACTTCTTTAAAAATTGATTAATTTAATCTTGATTTAAGCCGAAAAACTCTTGACATTAAAGTGGTCCAGCCAGGATAGGCGGCAATGATAAGGAAGGATAAACTACCAACATAAGACAAGTCCGACAAAATATGTCGCAAGATCAGAATTCAACAAAAATATGAATCAGTAAGAATCATATTAAAGATCGCAACCTGAAGTAGCACCTAAAAGACAATCTGAGGGCAGTCTGACACAATCATTCCTAAAACATAAGCAAACAATACATTAATTAATTAATAAACAATAAATTAATGAGCATGCAGAGGCTACCATACTACAACTACTCCAAAACACTGACAGCCAGAAGAGGAAGCTTAGAGTTGATTTAAATCCTGAGAAAGAGACAAATTTCTGCAACTTTCAATTAAATTTTCAGTCAGAGGGAAGAGCTGAAGTTCTCAATGAAACTGTTGACAGCGAGGTTCATCCTGAGTAATCCGCAGACCTCAGGACGTCACAGACTTGTCATTATACTTGGAAAGAGACGCTGCTGTCGAGTTTGACTAATCTAATTTAGGAGCATTAGGAGCGCCACAAATCAGTCATTGGGCTTTATTGCAATGAGGATGTTGTGATATCTCCAAACCTCAGCGAGTCACACTGAAACTGTGTGCAGGGAACGAGGAGAAAATACGAGTGAGCTAGAAAAAGTTTGAAAGACTTGAAATGAGTCTCCAACAACATCTTGGGCACGACTCTGGACAGGGACACTTTGATTCTTTGATTTCATTCCTCATCATTCTCTACTTTTAACTGTCAAATAAAGACAAATAATTAATTGCAATCATCTTTAAAATCATCACAGAGCATCAGCAGATGTGCCTTTAAATTAGTAGAGAAGAAATCATCCAAAGCTTTTACACCGTTGGGACTGAACGTTTGGTTGTTGAGGATTGAACCTCCCTGAACTTTTAGGTCCTCCATCACGTCAATGTCGCAGCGCTTGGGGCCGAGCAGATTGTTACAAATAATACTGATACCACTAAGACTCACTCTTGTTTTGAGAATCAATACTAGTCTTAATTAGATTATTTAAAAATAAGAAAGACAGAATAGAAACAGAGCTGTTTGGACTCTTACTTAGCTACGCTAGCAGAGCTCTATTAATGACAACTACTGAATGGATTTCTATGAGATTTTGTTTAAACATTAACGGTCCTCCAAATTAATTTGGTGATTGACTGATTTTTCATCTGGCGCCATCATCAGGTCAACATTTTAATGTGTTCAACATTTTGCTTTATGATCAAATACCTGCAGAACGAATGACATTCCCATCAGCCTCAGCTGCACTACTGTTAAATAGCTAACATTAGCATGCTAACACACTAAATTAAGATGGCGAACATGATGGTGATTATTATACCCGACAAACATCCGCATGTTAGCATTGTCGCTGTTATTTATAGTATGTTGTAGACATAACGCTGCGAACATCTTGTTCCTTCAGAGAAGACACATATACTGCAGATTTGCTGATGGCTAAATGAAAATAAAAGAGCTGCATTGTTAAAAAATCCTTTATAAACATGTGGTTTAGTAAATTAGAGAAAAGTAAAAAGAAATACTACTTAATTATTGCAAATGTGTTCTTAGTATACCTATTAATGATGCACTCGTCTTTTAATTTATCACATTTCATCCTATTGTTTTTATTTTTGGGCTCTGTGTGTTTTATTTTTAGCAATTCCCTGTTTAAAATCTGTAGCACTTTGGGATTTATTGAAATGTAAATCTCGTTACAAATAAAATATATTATTACTATTAGTGACATTTATCTCCCCCACATTACGGTACATAAGTTGTTTCTAAATAAAAGTGTCTGCATTGATATTTATGATTCCAGCCCTGGTAACTTATTACTTTTATGAAATAGTATCAAATAGAAACCAGTTTGTCATGTCGCCCACCCCTAGAACCACTTCCATGTTACACAGATTGTACCATGTAGTATTTAAGAAAGTGAATATACAAGAAATTTAAATTCTTGCACATTTTGTACCAACATGCAATGACCCCTTATCACTTCAATCAAACTGCAACTTTTCAAATAGCCAAATCTGAATTTGAAAAAAGCACAAAGAGAAACCAAGATGTTTCTACGAAGATCTCTTTTCTGAGATGTTCTTGGAGACTTTTTCACCCGCTGTCCACAATTTATTTTAATTGTCTCCAGCTGTGAGTTGTTCCTGCATTTCTGTTGCGCTTTGTATCGTGGGATAAAAGTGTCCCAATAAACAACGCACTCCAACGCAAAGCGAACTTAGTCTTTGAGTTTACTCAGCTTCGTCTAAACGATCCCGGGTGTGTGCGAGTGCTAAAGCAGAGATGGCAGGATGAGGTCTGGATCAAAGGCTGTGGTGAAAAAGAGGAAGGAGGTAGTAGATTTAAAAAAAAAAAAGGAAAGGAGAGGAGGGAAGAAGACGAGGAAACTGTCTGCTATGTTGTGTCATATGTTGTTTCTGTTCTGTTCTTTATCTTTGGTCCTTAACAAAACTGACATACGCTGAATTTTCATATGACTCTCAGTTTGTTTCCTAGTTTCATTTTATGTTACTTTCTTCCAAATGTTCCCAGGACACTAAAGCTCTGGTGCTGTTTACTGGAATTAATCTTGTA